CTATGCGGGGCTCGATCCCAGGACCTTTGGGATCATGACCTGAGCTGAGGGCAGATGCTTAACGACTGAGCCACCCGGGCGCCCCTAAATGTGATAATTTAGATATAAAATTCTTCCCAGGCTGACCTGACAGTAAACTGAATGATGTATTAACATATTTAGAGACAGTGTCAATCAAAAGGCCACATTTTAAAAACTACTGGACTTGGGGTGCCTGGCTGGCTCAGTCAGTAGAGCATGTGACTCTTGATCTTTGGGCTGTGAGTTCGAGCCTCACGTTGGACATAGAGATTACTTAAAATAATAATAATAATAACAAAAAAAGAGGTCTTTAAAAAAATACTGGACTCTCATTTATGCCCTCTCTTTTTTTGTTAGTGTGAATGGCAATGCAATAAATATGATCCTGCATATAGGTTCCATTTTGGATTAGAGTGCCAGGAAATACTTCTAGAAGTAGAATTATTGTGTCAAGAGGTAAGAGAGCACTACCACATTGCTTTGGAATGTATAAATCTCACCACTACCACCACCACAGAGCACCAGCTCCACCACATCTTTCTTGGGCGAAGAACTATCAATTGAGAAATTTTGCTGACAGACTGATTCAAAAAATATTTGAGAGATCACACTATGCCAGACATTGTATTAAGAGAGAAAAATGGTTTCATTATAAGTGTTCAAGTTAATATCTCTGATAACTGGTAATATTTGCATGTTTTATATATGTGTACTTTCCAATGTTTCTTCATTGTTATATTTACATTCATTGCATATTTATTGTTATAGCTGAATGTTATCTCCCAGAATTCATGTTAAAGTCCTAACTCCCACTGTGATCGTGTTTGGAGTTAACTACTTTGAGAAGTAAATAGGTTTAGATGACTTCAGAAGGGTGGATCTCCCCATGATAGGATTAATACTCATAAAAATAAATAGATAGATAGATAGATAGATAGATAGATAGATAGATAGATAGATAGATAGATAAATAATAGAAGGAGGGGCACCTGGGTGGCTCAGTCTGCCTTTGGCTCACGTCATAATCTCAGGGTCCTGGGATGGAAGCCTGTGGAGCTCAGCAGGGAGTCTGCTTCTCCCTCTTCCTCTAGCCACCCCACCCCACCCCCAGCTCATGCTCTTTCTCTCAAATAAAAGAGAAGGAGAGAAGGAGGGAGGGAGAGAACAGGGCTTGCTCGTCTCTGCTATGTAAAGGTGGCCATCGACAGGGCAGGAGTCGGGGCCTTATCAAGAACTGAACCTTCTGATATCTTGATCTTGAACTTCCCAGCCTCCAGAACCTGTGAGAAATAAATGTCTGTTGTGTAAGTGACCCAGTCTATGGTTTTTTGTTATAACAGCCTGAACTAAAAGACACTCACCTATTGAGGTATTCTTACTAATTAACTTATACTTCTGCTTTGTTACATAAAGACTTTCAGCAGAATACTAGGGTTTTAATAATTTTTTTATCATTCTTATGATCTTTATGTAATAAAAACGTTTTTACCTATTTTATATCGTCAATAACTATAATGATTGATAAGATAGCAGAAATATTCACTAAGTAGCTACCATGTGCCATTGTTTTAGATGTTGTTTTAAAATGTACATTAAGATGTTGGGTAGTTTAGTGGTGTATACCAGCACTCAAAGAATTTATATTCTAGAGAGGAGAGACACTCAATAAAAATGAAAATAAACATGTAGGCTAATTGTAAATTCTAATAACAGTTAAGAAGAAACTACAATAGGGGTGCCTGGGTGGCTCAGTTGATAAGCATCTGCCTTGGGCTCAGGTCATGATCCCAGGGTCCTGGGATTGAGCCCGTATCGGGCTCCCTGCTCGGCGGGAAGCCTGCTTCTCCCTTTTCACTCGGCCTGCTTGTGTTTCCTCTCTCGCTGTGTCTCTCTCTGTCAAATAAATAAATAAAATCTTAAAAAAAAA